AATAAGCTTTAAATTAGGCTGCAGTAGTTGAGCCTTTTTGTCAGGGTAGCAAGAAGGTGCACCAAATGATTAAATGCTGAGCCAAGATGATGAGGCTGAAATGAAGACTGCCAGAGCTGAATCTGGTATGTGGGAGCATCCTGAGGTCAAGATTGGTTGTTTATCTCCTTCCAACTTATAATTGCTCAGCAACTTCTCCCACATGTCATCCTATTTGCCTCCCTCCTTCTACTGCTATGATTTATGCAGAAAACTTGTAGGAAAGGGGAAGATGTTGCTGGGAATTCTTGGATTTAGAGAGGCAAAATGAGGTGGGGGGGGGGGAAGAAAGCTACTGAAACAACGGCATTGCATTGCCTATTCAAGGAAGGCACAATTTAGCAAGAACAGATTAATGAAATAAAATTGTGTCTGAAAATTTGGCTGGAGGTGCAGAGCCTGGCAATGCATTTCAATAATTCCTGAGTCAGACCTGAGCAATCCTGTTAGGTATTGCAAAATATTCTGTAGTCAGATTCTTATAGCCAGTGCTGATTTAAAAGGTCAGAGATATATGGTCTGGTTTATCCTCCAGTGGAGTAAGGGTTATAAATGCACAATTATACTTCATATAATAGTCCAGATTAGCCAGAGAAACAGCTGATGAATGCCTAGGAAGCCAACTGGAATGCTGGTCTCCAAGGATGCTTTCTGTATTGGCATGCCTGTTAACAGCTGGGAACTATTCAGCACGACAAGCACCTGACTCCAAGCTCACCATCTTCAGGGGCAAGGAAAGATAGATTCCTGCCTGTGCTAAGCAATTCCTTTGGGGATTTCTCCTCCTCAGGCTTGTATTTTCTCATCCCTATACAACAGAACAATTACATTGTGCAATTGACACTAACCATCTGACTTGACGGGGAGGCCTCTTCTCACAAAGACTGTTTCCATCTTTTTAAAAAAACTTCATCATACAGTATTTCAGCATTACAACAGAGGGAATGTTAATGCAGTAAATTCCACAGTGATGATAGTAACATTCAGGAACAAGCGTGGTGTTTATATATTGTAATATCACATCCTCCTGACCTTGGTCTGCCATATTTAACAAGAGAAAGCTCAAATAAATTTCAATCTGCAAATGTTTTTCTGTAACGAATAGACTATTGAGAAGAAAAATAAATACAGATGGTATTCTTTTGCAGATATTGTATCTCCTCCTGTTGAAGAACAACAGGCAACATGCTTATTGGTTTTGGTTTTGGTTTTGTTGGGATTTATATGCCGCCCTTTTCCCTGGGGGGACTCAGGGCGGCTCACATCCGAAAGGGGAAAGGGGAAACAGACTTTTACATATACGAAAACACATAATTAAAAGAAAACACAACATTCATACCATTCGGGAGGGTACAATCTTAGCCCCAGGCCTGGCGGGATAGCCAGATTCTAATGACTGTGCAGAAGGTCTGGAGAGTGGTGATGGTATGAATCTCCACGGGGAGATCGTTCCATAGGGTCGGAGCTGCCACCGAGAAGGCCCTCCTCCGCGTGGTCGCCAGTCGGCATTGACCCGCAGATGGAACCCGGAGGAGGGCTAATCGGTGAGATCTAATAGGTTGTGTGGAGGTAATTGGCAGTAGGCGGTCTCTCAAGTATTGTAATATAATAATATATATGT